TTTAAATTAACCTAATACAGAGTTTATTTGATCAGGTGAGAAGTTAATAGTTTTTATATATTTCTATCTATCCATATTATTCTCCTTTGAAAATAAATGTTTCATTTGTTCAGGAAAAATTTGCTTATACTAATATGATGGCCATACTGCCTCTTTCAAGATCACTGACACAAACCACAACCAAACATAATGACATTTGGTACTAAATGTCATTTTTCTACTCTGTATTATCAACCTATCACAAGCTAGGAGAAATAAATTGTTACCACCTCCCCCCACATAACACTTTAACTCTTAAATTAATTCTGGGTCTCTTAGGAATAATTTCAACATAAACTTTTTTTTTTTTAAGGACTGCTATAGTTTCACTTCAGAATAAGCCCTGTTTTTAAGACTCAAATATAAATATACATATGTATATATCTACATGCACATACATATTTGGGGGGAGAGGTTACAATTTTATTGGGCCTGTACAAGAATACAGATATTTATGCTTCTAAATAAAAACCATTACAATATTTGTTACAGAAGTGTCTCAGATTGACATGGCAGTCCCATTCATCAAGGGAAATTCCTTCCTTCCACTATACATAGTAGTAGCAAAAGCTTAGGCAGCAGATTGTTATGGTTCTTTTGATCATAAAGAAATGTTCCCTAGTTTCAATGAGGTGTATGGGTGTATAAAGAACACACATCAGGTGATCCAAATTTTGAAGCTAGAAATAAACACATGTAACATTCATAAGAAATTCTTGAGGGATGGGCCATAACTTCTACAAATTTATGTTAGAGTCCACAGGGCTAAGCATACAGTAGAAACCTAAGAAATACTTGAAGAATGAATTACATTGCTATAGGCAATTCTATTTTCCCAATGATCAGAAGCACAATTTAAAATTGATACTGAGTGGGTTGTAGGAATGGCTAAGCCCTCTCACATCCTATAAGTATGCCCTACTTTTTTGTGAATATTTATGTTTATTGATAGAACTAAGCATTATGATATGATTAGATGCTACCAAAAGGCTTTCCTTGACCCAGCAACTATGTTATAAATGTGTCGTGCTCCTTAACTACCCACTGAACCAAAAAATACCCCAAATCAAGTCTACCTTAGAAATTCTTTCAGTTTAGGGTTTATAGTACTTCATTCTATAAATATGATATCCTGATATATATAAAGTTCAATTATAAGAATTATCTATATAAAAATATTTCTGAGGACAGAAACTTTTAAGTGGTAAAACTCACAGTGGCTGTTAGGAGTCTTAAAATGGAATCCTGATAATCAAAACTTTAAATTTTAGCTGAGAATTATTCAGTTATCTTTATTCAATTATTAGAATTAGAATACTAATAATATTTATATAAAAGATGGCATGAAGTACTTAGGTTTAATTTATATTAAGTAATGGATACTCAGTAGCACCAAACTACATTATCTTGATGAAGACCCTAGCTCAAACTATATGTCTGAAAACAAATATGTAAGCAACCTCAAACACTGTTTACAAAAGCTTATCTAGTAAGGTAATTTTGTCTTATTTCCAACTATGACAAAATTCTCAATTAAGAAAATACCAGTCAGTATCTTTCTTGTACATGGAATACATTTACTTTCAACATTCAATAAGTATGTCAAAGTGTCCTCCAATTACCTCCAAAGTGCAAAATAAAAAAGTTAAATAGAGATTATAAAAATGTAAGTTTTAGCTTCTGTGGAGATCAAAGAGATGGAAAAAGCAACATTTTGTGAATATTTGCAGTTCTTTGACCAAAGACATGTATGGTGCCCATATGAAGAGTTGGGTGCCTTAAGGAAATGCTAACAATTTATGATTAAAAATAAGGGTGATAAATATATCAACCCACTTCTGAGCCTTTAATGTCTAATAGCTTACAGCTATTCTTTGTAGACTTGCATGATCAGAATTCCATTTCTGTAGCTCATACAAAGTAGAAATTTCTAGATTGTACTAGATACATATAAACGTTTACAGTAAATTATTCTTTCAGGGTATAGGATAGATACCAAAATAATTTTAACGTCAAATTAATTTTCCTGCCCATACATGCAGATTTTTATTTCTTCTTTAGCAAATACAAATGGGAAGGGAAAATAGCGTTCTTGAGAGAAAACTGCATGCCAGGAAGTACCAGCTTTTTTTTTTTAGGCTTTATGGGGGCTTTTTTTGAACCGGGGACCTCTTGATGTGCAGTCATAGCCTTTGTGTTTTTAACTAAATTACAAGTATTCTTTCTTTACAAGTTACATCTGAAGGTATGCCATAAGTCAATTTTCACTGAAATAACTTCAGCTCAGAAACATAAGAAGATACCAATATAAAAAAGCCCCCAATATATAATGAAACAAACTTTAAAATATCACTTTTAAAGTTTCCCTTAAGTTTTCTGACAAAACATTTAATATGAGCTATTATGTAAAGGTAGACATTTAAAATGAATTTATTTGAATTCAAAACCACAAATTTTAATTATCTTTTTATTCAGATATTTTAAGCATTTGACAATTTGACCACAGTATTTCACTTGTCTCAAATTATTTAAAATAATTTTAATTTTATATCTAGAAGTATATATTTTTCATCTTCCCACTTTTGCATAATTAGTAAAGTAATGGAGTATGCTTATATTGATATCCTTGATTCTGAGCTGATGCATTATTTAGAAAATGGTAGTGTTCAAAAAAGGTACCAACATCAACAATGGCATCTGAATGCAAATAATTACTTTAAGCAATAAATACCAGATTAACTACAAGACAAGAGTCAAGAACACCAGATTATCATTACACAATATTTATTAAAAGCTTTCTACGTGTTGGACATTAAACTACCCACTAGGGAACCCAATGACCGGATACATAGTGTTAGCAATAGGAATAATGTTTATATAAAAGATGGCATGAAGTAGTTAGGTTTAATTTATATTAAGTAATGGATACTCATTTTGTTTGAGTTTGGGTAAAAGGGGTAGATCAAATGACATTATTTGAAATAAATATAAACTCACATTCTTTTCTCTCTAACCTCCCCAAAGTATGTTTACTCTCTGTATTGTTCATTGTGGAGCAAAGAAATGACAAGCATGATTCAGTTTTATAAAGTTAATTACAATAATTTTATCCTAAATTTTTATTATATCGCTTCCTACATTTGAAAAAGGCTACAAAGTGATGACTAAAAGACCTACTGGCATGTAACTGATGGTCCTTTCCATCCTAAGTACAGGGGAAGAGTTCTTTGAGGCATGCCTACTATTTGTGGTCTGTTACTATTTCTGACCCTGACTCTTGGATTCATTGCCTTTGCTCAAAAAGAGTCACCCAAGAGTTTAAATTACAGTTTTGCTAGACATCTTAAAGATGGTACTAATTATACACTCACAGTTTAGTTAAAACCATTGCTGTTTTTGATATAATCAGGAACATAATACAACAGAAAAGTTGTGTATTATTTATTATCTTTTTAACTCATTGTACTGATATCACAGTTACATAAGAACCACTTCAACAGCTCCACTAATCTATGAATATATTTAGTCCTTATTCTCAAGAGGCTTTTAAAAGAGCAAATCATAATATAAAATTTGAAATTTGTTAAAATGACACTGATTGTAATGTCCCAAGAGCTTCTAAATAAGTGAACTAGAACAGGATAATCAATTTGCCTGAGTCCATATATACCTTAATTATAATGAATAACCTTTAGAATAAAATATTTATAATTTTCTTTTTTTATATTAATCATTTTATCCATTCCACTGTTAACTGGTGTCTCAATTATTACTTTGTTGTTAGGCAGTTTAAAACAATACTGACACATTTAAGTCAATATTTTCCTTTAAAAAAAAATCTATGTAGTAAACTGTTAACATTTTAATCTTTAAAAAAAAGGGAAAAAAAAAAGATCCCTTAGTTGCCTAGAGAGAGAATTTCAGTGATCAAATTAAATTAGGACACCAAGTCAAAATTCAAACTGTCAAAACACGTGGGCAAAAACGTATCACATATCTTCCAGTCCTAGAGATGCAACTAGATTATTACTTTTATAAAATCGCCAAAGGAAGGATTAAACAAAGCAGAAAACTAGCTCATAATGGAACAACGAATCAATCTCTGGGTGTCTCTTCCTAAGGCATCACATTCTCTCCCTGGGACGGTCCACGGGGCTGGCCCTCCTCACCCGAGGTGTTAAATGCACCCTCTCCCTGCCCCCCGCCCTGTTTGTACTTCTGCCTGGGCAGAGTCCCTCCCAAACAAGGCTGGCTTTGTAAGAAAGCAAGCAAAGAAAACAAACATCGCACCCGGCAACTTCCAAGCCCTTGGCGGTGACAGGCAGGACAATGCTCCAACTCTGCTGTGCTGTCATAAACACCTATATTATTACAAGTGCTGTGTTGGAGACGTCTCCCTTTCAGAGAACCGCCGTCCTGAGAGACACGCTCGCGCCCCCGTGGAGTCGGGGCAGGTGCGGCCAGGGCCCTGTGAGCACGGAGACGCGTTACCAGGGGGCGGTCACCGCGCCCCGCACAGCCCCTGCGCCTGCGAAGCCCTCCCTCCGGGGGCGGAAAGCAAAGGGGCACCCGACGTCTGGCCAGGCTCAGGGCGGCTCTCACCGGGGTGGGGGGCAGGGGAGGGCTGCTCGGGCCCCTCCCCGCCTCACGCCCCCAGCCTTCCCCGCACCACGTCCCTAAGTCATTTCCCATCCAAATCCTTCTTACTTCACCTCACGGACCCAAACACGGACCCAAACCCTCCTGCTTCACTCTACGCCCCGGTCCTCCTCTCCCCTCCCTCACACCCCCAAGTCCTCCTCTCCGGTCCTTCTCACGCCCCGTGGTCCTCCTCTTCGGCCTGCCTCCCGAGGCCCCCCAATGCCCTCTCGCCCTCTAAAACTTGTTCTTTCCCCTTAAAATAGCTCCCTTCGAAATCCCTAAATTCCCGCGCGCTCGCGGGCTGCCGCCCCGACACTCACGAGAAGAAGGGGTCCTCGTCAAAGTTGCTCAGCATCCTGAACATCCCGCTGTGTCCCGCGGCGGCGCGGACAGACTGCAGAACGATGTATAACTGGCCGCAGCCGCGGCGGGAGCCCGCCTGCCCCGCACGCTCAACGCTTCTCTACGGCCGCGAAGGCGGGGCCCCCGGGAGAGGCGGTGCGTGGCGCGGAGCTGCTTTCCCATTGGACGCAGGTTCCCTGACGTCACAAAGACGAGGCGGGGACAATGCGCCGCTGCCGTGACAACCGCGGTAAACACCGAGGTGAGAGTTGGGCCTTGGGCGGGTGCAACCCTGCAGCCTCCGGAGGGACGCGCGCTTGTGCTCCGGCCAGCACGTGTACAGTTAGACCGCCCTCTGCGTGACCTTGGGCAAGTCGCCCTTGGCCTCGAAACCCAAGTCTCTTTTCAGGAAAGTGAAGATGCATCAAGGTTTGAGCTAGGTGGCATCCAAAGACTCATTCACCAGCCACATTTTGTGACGCACAGGAGTCTTATATCTGAAATAGCCTGTGGTCATTGGCCAAAGCTGTGCACAAATAATGAGAAAAAAAATGTGCAAAACGTTTTTGAGTACAGTTAGTAAATAGTGTACTCAGTGCTTGAAGGAAATGGGATGGATGGTGCCTATGAGATTTCAACAAACTTATTTGCCTTGTGTAAGTCTGTAATTCAGACAGTATCCCAAAGTGGGAAATGCTTATGTTATGTATACACATGGCTGGGTGGTTCAGTTGGTTGGAACGTTCTCCGAACAGAAAAGGTTGCAGGTTCAATCCCTGGTCAGGGTGCAGAGAGGAGGCAACCAATGGAAGATTCCCTCTCACATTGATGTCCCTCTCTCTCTCCTCATTTCTCTCTCAAATTAATAAAAACATCTCCATGGATGAGGATTAAAAAAAATAAAAAAGATGAGAAAGTTGCTTTCTTTTCAGCCCTCTTTACAGTCTCTATTTCAGGGAGCAAGTGCCACTTCGATGCTCCTCCCCGGTTCCTTCACCTGGCAGAGCAAGACTCAGGCGCAAAGCTTGCAGCAGGCACCCCTGTCCAACTAAAATTCCATTACTGTACATTTTTGTTTTAATTATATGTGAGTCTTCTTTTTATGGCAAGTGAAACTGGTTTGAAATTTAAAGCACATACTAATAGCTAGTCTTTAAAAATTTGAGTGAAAAGTGAGTTAATTTAAAGAAACAGCACGGGTGGAGTTTGAACATGGGGGAAGACACAGTATGACAGTGGCACACATATTATTGAGTTTCCCAAAACACTGTCCTGAGGTCTTCCAGGAACATAGAAGCAGGTGGAAGAGAAGATAGAAGAGAGGACATTAAAGAAAGAATGATAAAACTGCAAGTCCACCTTTAATTCATTGAACTCCCCAACCTTTCTAGGGTGCTTTTCTGTGGAGATAGAGGGCCATCTATGGCTCCACAGGGCTTCCTGGGATGGAGCCAGAGAGGTGGCACTCAGCCAGCACAAAGAAGCGTGCAGGCCCTGATTTAGAGGTGGCAGGAGCACTCTGGGGTTATTTTGGGAGATGGAAATTTAATCCTTTGGACCTTTTACTTCTCTACCTTTAGCCAAGTTCTCTGGTAGCCTCCTTTATCCCAGGCTGGTGGCAAGAGGTAGGGCAGACTTCATAGCCCAAGGAAAGGGAGTAGAGCTCTTCCAGGGAAGAAGATATTTTCTCCTCTCGCCCCAGAAGGAAGCTCAGGAAGCATATATATATTGGGGATTTCTAAATTAGTTTCAAGGCAAAAAAAAAAAAATTGCTGGGGGTGGGGAGGATGGGAAGAGATAAACCACAGAACTTATATGCATGTATACATAACCAATAAACATGGACAACAAAGCCGGGGACAGGGTGGGGGTGGGTTGGGGAGGGGGATGCCAATGGGGTAAAAAAGGAGAAACATCTGTAACAAAAAATAGATAAATAAATAAACAACAACAACAAAAAATTGCTATAAGACTTGCATTATTTTCTCTTTAAAATAGTATGACCCAAGATGTTAAGGAGGACACACTTGAAAAAAAAAACTTAAATGAAATGGGGTAAGTTATTGGTGATAAATGACAGTATTAAAATAATTCTGGATTAAGGTCAAATAAAGCAATTTGAGAGAAAAATTTCCCTCTTGTTCCCATTGGGGATTTTTCTTAGGCTCACATTTGTTAAAACATATTAGTCATGGAGTTACCTGGAGCTTCTAAAAGCAGTTTGGGCCTAATGGCAAATGCTTTAAAAAAAAGTTAGTGGAGGAAATAGAGTTGAAGCTGGAGAGACCTCATCCAGCTTCTTACCTCATGGGTAAGAAGTGGGAGATAAAAGAAGGGGTCAGTCAAGAGAGGGTGAATACCTAAGCAGGGGAGAATAGAGATGCAGAGCAAGACTAAAGGGGAGAGGGTCCTGAATTTGTCTGTAAACAGTCACAATAGCTAATATTTATTTTATGTGTGCCAGGCACTGTTGTTATAGGCACTTCATGTGCGTTAATGTATTGAATCCTCAAAAGATTTTTATGGAGTAGGGATGGTTTTTAGCTCCATTTATTAAGGATGCAACAGAGACCCAGATTGGCTAAATGAATTGCCAAGGTTCACAGAGCTAGGGGCTGAACTGGGCCGGGTGCCTGGAGTTCTCTTTAGTGGGGGTTGGTTGCATGGAGTGTGGATGATGGGCCACACTTAAAGATTCAGTATGAAGCAGGTACTTTCTCAAAATCAAGCTGACAAACTAAATAATAGGTCCAAACTAAAAAGTATAAAATTCAATGAGAATATATTCAAATTCAATTTTACAAAAACTGAGTGCCTAACCTATTCAGGCACTGATCAGGCACTGTGGCATTGGTGAACAAAACCAAAATCCCTGTTCCTGTAGATCATATTCTTGTGAGGGCAGGATGAAAGTAAAGGACATAATGAGTAGGATGTTAAAAGGGGAAAATCTGAGCAGTGTAAAGGAGAGGGGGGTTGTGCAATTATACGTAGGAAATTCTATGTAGGCTTCATCAGGAAGGTGAATTTGAGCAGATTTAATGGAAGGAAGTAGACATCTATTAAAAGAGCATTCCAGGCTAGTGCAAAGGCCCTGAGGTACCATGTGCTTGGTGTATATAATGTGCAGTCTAGTCATATGTCCTGAACTTGCCTTCAGAAGAATGAGATAAGCCAAGTAAAGAGAAAATTACATATTAGGATAATAGCTCCTGTTTATACTTCCTTGTTCTAGGCATTGCATTAAGTGCTTTACATACATTTTCTCATTAAATCCTTATAACAACCCTGTATACTATAAGATGTTTATTCCCACATTACATGTGAAGAAACTGAGACCCAGAGAAATTTGGTGATTGTCCATTCTAATTCAAAAGTCAGTTCAAATCCAGATTAGCCCTACCCCAAAATTTATATTTTTTTCTACCACCCAACTTTGCCTTCCTATAAAAATTAAATTAACCATTTACTGAGCACCACTATATACCAGGCATTTTTACCTATATAATCTACAACCACACTACAAGTTATGGTTTATTTGGAATGTCACTGACCTAGAGAACAGAGAAAAGTGTGAAATCCAAGCCAATCCTACAACTCTGTTAAAAACACCAACAGTTCAAAATGTCAATGAGTCCTCTTTTCTTTACTCATTAATTCACCGAATATTTATTAAGGCCCAATGATATCCCAGGCACTCACTATTCTAGATACTAAGGATACGAAACTCTCTGGCATCTTGGAGCTCACATTCTAGTAGATAGCTCTTTCACCAGCTAGTTCTGCGATCACCCTTGTTACAGCACTTTGGAATTTTCCAAATGCTTTTGAAGACATTATCTCGAGTACCCAAGAAGAAATAAATAGGCTCTAAGTGCTGGACTTTCAGACTTAATTATAGCTCTGCAGAGCCATGAGTGTTAAGCCATTATAAACACCTTTACTTCAGTTTATTTCAACTTGCCCAGGGTTTCATTGTCCTCATCCCTTTGTCCTAAACTGTGAACAGAGGTGGTCTGGAAATGAGCTGTCACAGCAAATTCACAGGGCACCATGGGACATTTAAAATTTTTATGAGAAACAGAGAAACTTGACATCTGCTGAACATTGTACATACTAGCTTGACGTAGTTTACATATTTCAGTATTAGATTGTGCTACATTCCTTTAGTTGGTGTCATCTTTGGAAAGCTAGGTTTTTAAAAGTTGACATGAGGCCCTAGCCGGGTAGCTCAGTTGGTTAGAGCATTGTCTGGATATGCCAAGGTTGTGGGCTCGATCCCCCGTCAGGGCACATACAAGAATCAACCAATAGATGCATAAATAAATGAAACAACAAATTGATGTTTCTCTCTTTCTCAAATCAATAAGAACAACAACTTGATATGATGAAAAGGAAGTACCTTGTGAAAACCAATGTAGAACAGGAACACTGGGGCAGAGTCCACTCTGTTTTCCAAGTTTGAGAGGTTGAGCGGTGCTAGGCCAGCACCCATCCATTAGTAAGTGTCATTATTTAAGAATGATATAAAATGTTTTCCTTTTGATTTACGTGTATTATGTTTTACAAGGCTACTGAGTAGTTAGAACATAAATAAAGTTGTTTGGACCCTCCTACACAATAAACAGAACTATTCAGTGTTTCTTTGGTCCTGGGGGCACAGTGAATATGTTACTGAGGGACTGAACTTTTGGGGAACCCCATCCTAATCCCATGATCTTTCTCTTTTTCAAAATTTTTTTTTTTTTTTTTAATCCTCACCCGAGGACATTTTTCCATTTTTTGTACAGACAGAGTGGGAGGGAGAGAGAGGAAGAGAGAGACAGAGAAACATCGATGTGAAAGGGACACATCAAGTGGCTGCCACCCGCATGACCAACCAGGGCCGGGGACAAACTGCAACCAAGGTACATGCCCTTAGCGGGAACCGAACCCGGGTCTCTCCGGACCGCAGGCAGGCGCTCTAACCGCTGAGCCAAACCGGCCAGGGCTCTTTTTCAAATTTTTTTAAAAATGTAAAGTTGTATTATGAATCCATTCTCTCTAAAAGGTGTGATTCATTTCCTTTTTTGTGTTTATCTTCTTTCCAGCTAGCTAGCTTAGGAGT